AGCCAGGGCTGAACACATTTTGAATTACTGGTTTGAAATTGTTGTTAATCTGACTGCTGCCTGCATGTGTCCTCTGTCTCGTACGTGTAATATATGTTACTTCTTATTAAGATTTTTTTTTTATTTATTTATCTTTAGAGGGGAAGGGAAGGAGAGAGGGAGAGAAACATCAATGTATGGTTGCCTCTTGTGTGCATCCCCTGCAGGGAACTGGCCTGCAGGGACCTGGCCTGCAACCCAGGCATGTGCCCTGACTGGGAATCGAACCGCCATCGTCTGGTTCACAGGCCCGCGCTCAATCCACTGAGCTACACCAGCCAGGGCTGTTACTTCTTTCTGTGTCTTTGTGTGTCTTGTAATCCATTTTCAGCTCTGGTTTTTATTATTATCCAACCATGCCGTCCCTCAGCACTCCTTTTCCCTGGGCTTTTACACCTGGCTCAAGCACCTACTTAGAGTCCATCTTTCATTTTTTTGCTTCTCTTTCATGTACATCAGAAAATTGTATCTGTAATCATAACATCAGTAAGCAATAGTAATAGCTTATTCGAACATAAAATGTTTCTCATCCCAAATGTGCAGAATGAGCAGAAGAACTTGCCCTGTTTCTTCCTGGTCCCCCTTAACTCCTTGGAGACCTAGGAGGACAAAAGGTGAACACAGACCATCGGGAACTCACATGAAGATACAGAAATCTCTGCAGAATGGTCCTGAGGCCCATCTTCTTGGTACCCGTGAACCGCAAAAAGATGCCATTTTGAAAGACAAGGCTTTCACATCGAAAGCACTGTCTGAGGTGGCCTGATCCTAGGCTGGGGCCTCAACCAGCACCTGCTGCTCCTGAAGCTGAATAGGACCCAGGTTGCAGGAAACACCAGAGGTCTGCATTCAAGGCCACAGCATCAGTGCAGGGCGGGCTGCAGACACCGAAGGCTCCAAGCGCCCCGGCCACGTGCCTTTGGTTTGTGATTCAGGTGCAGCAGGCTCAGCAGTGGGTCAGCCTGTGCCTCACAATGACAGGAGAGCTGTAGAACTTAACATGATCAGGCCTCTGTTTCTTCTCTTATTTTTAAAGATTTTATTTATTTTTAGAGAGAGAAGATGGAGGGAGAAAGAGAGAAACATCAATGTGTAGTTGCCTCTTGCATGCCCCCTACTGGGGGACCTCACCCGCAAACCCAGGCATGTGCCCTGACTGGGAATCGAACCTACAACCCTTTGGTTCACAGGCCAGCACTCAATCCACTGAGCTACACCAGCCAGGACAGGCCTCTATGTCTTAAGCTTTTGTGTGTGTGTGTATGTGTGTGTGAAAATATACATTACCTAAAACCACTTTAACCATTTCTAATTAATTGTACTGTTCAATAAATGTTAAGCACATTCATGTTGTTGTGTAAACATGATCACTGTTCATTTTCAGAACTTTTTATAATTCCGTCTGACATATGACCCATTGAACAGTAACTCCCCACTCCCATCCCTCGCCCCCGTGACCACAGTGCTACAGTCTGTCCCCACAAGTGCAGCTCCTGCAGGGACCTCATAAAAGGGCACTCATGGAAGAGGTGTCCCTTTTTACTGGCTTATGTCACTTAGCATTTTGCCTCTAAGGTTCGCCTATGTTGTCACATGCGTCAGAATTTCATTCTTTTTCAAGGCCGATGAATAGCCCATCTTACACCGTTTTGCCTAAACTAAAAAAGAGCAAGTCCATTGTATTTTGTCCAATTGTTCGTCCATTCATTCATCATAGACACGCGGGTTGTTTGCTCCTTTTGCCTTTTGTGAATAATGCTGCCATTAGCATGGGAGTGCGAATGTAGGTGTTCAGGTCACTACTTTTAGTTCCAGAAGTGGAGTTGCCGAGTTATATGGCGATTTGATAACTGCATAACTGCCGTGCAGTTTTCCAGCCTCACTGATGCGTGCAGAGGGTTCAGTGGCTCCGCGGCATCGCCCCGCGCCTGCTTTCTGTTTGCGAGTGGTCATCCTAATGAATGTGACCTGCTCTCTCCTCATAGCCTTGAGTTGCATTTCCCTAAAGATCAGTGAAGTTGAACATCTCTTCATGTGCTTTTGGCCATTGTTTTAAATGTCATTGTTTTAAATATCTTCTTTGGAGAAAGGTCTGTTCAAGTCTTGTGCTCATTTTTTAATTGTTTCTTTTCTTTTTTTGGCTCGTGGTTTTCTGTCGCTGACTTTGGGTAGTACACGGTAACATCTGTGGACACTGATTCTTCTCCCTATTTCTGGTGTTTGCTTGTTTTTATTTAAAGATTTTATTTATTTTTTTAGACAGAGGGGAAGGGTGGGAGGAACGGAGGGAGAAAAACATCAATGTGTGGGGACCTCTCACGTGCCCCTACTGGGGACATGCCCTGACTGGGAATTGAACAGCTACCCTTTGGTTCACAGGCCAGTGCTCAATCTACTGAGCCACAGAAGTCAGGGCTGTTTGTTTATTTGTTTAGTGAGGGGGCCTCTGTGGGTGCAAGATGAGCCCATCTAAGCTTCTGTGCTAGAGACTCACTGTTCGTACTGAGATTTAGTAGGTTTTCTTGAATAAATGTGTCTTGGTGGACTGTATACTCTGGACAAATTCTAGAGACTTAAAAAATGTGTTTTAATACTTGATTCACTAGTTAGGGCTGTTTTGCTAAAGACCTGGCCCATGAGCTTCCTCACACCCGTGTTCTGGAGGTGGACTCACGGTCTTTCATTCTTAAAGGCCCAGCGCACATGGACCGCACCCTCTTCAACAGACACGGTGCGGTTAGCACACCCAGGGATTCATGTGAACTCTGTGCTCTGCTCCACAGGGCGAACTGGGTGCATTTTAGGTTCAGCTGTAGTCTGTCACTCACTAGGCTGTGTGGGTCACATTTGTGTCAGACACACTGAGGAGGACAGGAGCGGCTGCCAGGGCCACGCCCTCTCCTGCTTGAGGCTGTCAGCGGAGGCAGAGCTCCAGGCCGTGACAGAGGTACCTGTGTCCAGGGCCATAGCTCCGAGTGAGGGCGCCCGCGAATGGTTCGGGTGCCGCTGCCCAGCAGAGGGCGCTGTTGGCTGAGTGCTGTTCCCTGGCCGCCGGCTCAAACTAGGCCAATTGCCAGTACTGTCCTGTCTCCCACTGTGCACCAAACGTAGTGTTTAGTCACCAGAGTCCTTAGTCCCCTGCCCTCTGCCACAGGTGTTAGCCTTCCTATGTCTTTCATGACCTCGCTGCTTCGGAAGGGTACAGGCCAGCTAATTCCTAGACTGTCTCAGCTTCCTCCTGATTAGATACAAGTGATGATGCACCTTGGCACGGGCACCGCAGAGGTGACACTGTGCCCTCCCTGGTGACCTCTGAGGAGGCACAGGACGCTGGGTTGTGCTGTTGCTGGTGCTGTTAGCTTTGGCCGCTGGGCTAAGGTGGTGTCTGTCAGAGTTTGCAAGAACGATAAAGATAACTTTTTCTGCCCCCGCCGGTGTGGCTGAGTGGATTGAGTGCCATCCTGCAGGCTGAAAGGTCACTGGTTGGGTTCCCAGTCAGGGCACGTGCTTGAATTGCGGGCTGGGTCCCCCATTGTGGGCGTGAGAAAGACAACCACACATTGATGTCTCTCTCCCTCTCTCCCTTCCTTCCCCTCTTTCTAAAAACAAATAAAATCTTCAAAAAAAACCAGATGACTTTTTCTTTTTATAATTACTGACAAACCAGTGGAGGTGACTAGGAGACCACGTGACAGCGCTGCTCCTCAGCCGCCCTTCACCCACTCCTGTCACTACTCAGTGATGCTTCCTGTTTTAAGTCGCTTGTTCCTGTGAGGTCACCAAACGGTGGCATTGTGACGCAGCCGTTCCTCCCACTGGGTCACTTTGTTTTTAAGTACTTACCATGAGGGCCATAGCTCTGCTCCTCCTTGTGACGGGCTGGCTTTCTTCGGTAATCATTTCAAATTACTGATAATTAAAACGTCCAATCAGAAGTAGGTACTTTACCCTGAATGGAAAGAAACTTCCGTGACAAGGAGCATTTTGGCATACCTGAAGGACAAAGGTGCGTCTCAGAGGCAGGGCGACCCTCTTGCTGAAGGCGCTGTCACCCAGCAGGAAGTGAGACAGCTGTGGTGGACTGAGGGGAGTGCAGGGGACTCGGCAAATGCCCCAGCACCGAGGGAGGGCGCAGGCGTGCTGCGCTGGTAGTTGGCAAAGAGCCACACCAGAAAGGTTCCAAATTATGCTGAGTAACCTGTAAAATAATTTTGTATGAATTGGTTATAGTAAATGCATGAGAAACTTGCACGTTGAAGAGCAAATCTTATTTGAAAGGAACATAAAACTTTACTCCAGCCCTGGACGGGGTAGCTGTCAGTTGGTGGGATCATTGTCCCTTAAACCCATAGGTCATGGGTTTGATTCCCAGTCAGAGCACATGTGAGAGGCAACCGATTGATGGCTCTCTCTCTCTCTCTCCCCCTCCATCCCTTCCCCTCCCTCTAAAAATCTATAAGCATGTCCTGGGTGAGGATTATATTTTTAAAATTTTTATTCCAATAAATATATGTGTCTGGGGGGGTGTTGCACCCCTGGACCCCAAATCATAAAGGTTCAGCTTGTTGTTCGGGTCAGCTTGACTTGGTTGCAAAAAGCATCTGCCCCTTTTAGTGGCTTGTCATGCTGCTATTTGTAGACTAAAAAGATTCCTGAGTTTGCAGTATGACATTCATTATTCTTTCAAAAAACTTTAATATATATTCAGTGTTAGAAAGAGAGAGAGATGAATTTGTTGTTCCACTTATTTATACATTCACTGGTTGATTCTTCTATGTGCCCAGACCAGGTAGTGAACCCGCAACTCTGGTGCATTCAGATGACACTCTAACCAACTGAGCTATCCTGCCAGGGCATTCTGTTCTTTTCATTTTTAGTTTTCATGTAATTTCTCTCAAGTATGCAGCTTGTAACCCTCTTGCTTCTTGCCTTCCTGACATTTCCATGTCGCTCTCTTGTAGGTACCTCCTATTTAACGGACATCGTGTGGTGGGCAGGCACTATTGCAAGTAAGTACCCTGTGTAGTGAAGAGCTTGTTTTCTTTAAGATCAGTCATTCCCCTGGCAGGACTGGGAGGCGGGGGAGGATGAGCTGGGGGGCAGGGGTTGGTGGAGGTGGGCCTGCAGTTAGCCCTGAATTTAGCCCAAGCCGCCCTCTCCTGGGCCCAGAGAAGCTAAAATAGCTCCTGCTTACGCAAAGTTGGGCTGTTGGCCTTTGGTGAAATTACATGTGTTTGCTGAACGTAATTGGTTTTACAAAGGTGGCTTTCTTCCCTCAGCCTTAAGGACCAGATCATGTGCTGTTACCGAAAACACACTTCATATACTTAGAACTTTTAAATATATAAGAGAAAATGACATGCGAAATTTTAGAAAGAACACGAGGTTCATTTGTCTCACATTGCCTTTTCGTTGAGAAAAGACTTAGCAGTCGTGATGGCTTTCACGGAGGAGCTCTTATTTAAGCTCTCCCTCCCTGCCACTCCTGCGGCGCTGTGTCAGTGCAGCCCAGAGGCCGACACTGGAGCAGGTCCCAGGCTATTTCAGGGACACGGGGAGCCCGGCATGATCCGTCTTAAAACAAGGGTGTTTCAGGGAGAGAGTGGAAATATACAGTGTTGCACCCGCTGTCAGTCACTGACTTTAGCCGGGGAATTTCCAGAGACTGATGAAGCTGCTCCCCAACCTATCGGCTTCCTGACTGGGGCAGGTACAACCAATCAGAACAGTGACTCGAGCGCTGCTCCACAACCAATCAGGACAATGAGGTGGGGAGAGGGGGCGGGCACTGCTCTCCCGTGAGGTCAGGACCCTTAAACATGCAAATGATACTTCTTCCGCAACAAGTGGTTTCTCACAAGCCCTGGAAAGCAAGTGGCTGGTTCGAGGCCCAGTCTCCCGAAATACAACTCTGATCCTTGATAGGAGAGAGCGCTGTCATTGCAAATGACATCCTGTGATTCTCTTCACAGTGGCTGTTGGCCAGATTGGAAACTTCCTGGCTTACACAGCGGTCCCCACGGTCCTGGTGACGCCCCTGGGTGCCCTGGGAGTGCCATTTGGGTGAGTGCTGGTGTTCTGTGTTTTGGTTTTTAATGTGCCATATATATCAAATGGAAACTTTTCATTTTCAATGTTTCTGTTCAAATAGTAAGAGGAAAATTGTAACTGAAGACAGGTCTTCGGTGTTCTCCTCTATATGGTTTAGTTTCATTCCTTCATTCCTCAGAAATTTCTTTTTTTTTAAGAATTTATTTTTAGAGTGAGGGAGAGAAATATCGATACGCGCACCCCCTGCTGGGGACTTGTCCAGCTACCTGGACATGCGCCCTGACTGGGAGTCCAACCAGCAACCCTTTGGTTTGCAGGCTGGCGCTCCATCCGCTGAGCCACACCATCCAGGGCTATTCCTTTAAACTTAGTTGTGTGAATTGTTAACCCTTGTCTTAGAAATGTGCTTTAGTATATTTCAAGTCCTAAGTTACTCCTGGGGATCAATGAGTGGCATGCTGCATTCTCTGAGTTTGCCCTGGCCCATGTCCAAGAGCCTAGAGTTTTCCCGATGCCTTGGGAAGTGCTTCAGAGAAATCCTTAAGCAGCACTAGTCAGTTGGTATTTTATTTGGGTGCCTACCACCCCCTGCTGGACACTGAGCGCCACCCCCCCCCCAACTCTGGGAAACTGGAGGTTGGGACAAGTCACACCTGGGTGCCACTGGGTGTGCGACAGAATTCACGTCTCACCAGAGTCAACAGCAACTGGATCCCCCAGGAGAGGGCTGTGGTTTAGTCTGGAGCACGTTACGCTGGGAAAAGAAGAGTTGTCTCGAGCCACACATTCAATACACAAACACTAATGCAAACTGATGAGCAAAAGACAGGTTTTAAGTAAATTTCTGATTTTGTGTCGGGCCACGTTCATCATCATCCTGGGTCTCGTGTGGCTGGGGGGCTGCAGCGTGGACACCCCAGGTCTGGGGTGAACCCAGAGGGAAGCAGGGCTTTGGGTTTTTACTGGAGTCAGGAGGTGAGCTGGGCGGGGGTGCCCACCCTCAGGCCGGGGCGTGCCAAGCGACTGGGGACAGCGGGACCCACGCACACGCTCAGGCCTTCTCACCAGGCTGCCCACACGTGGGGCACACAGGAAAAGGGAGGAGAGAGGACATGAAGGCTCCCGGCCACCACCTGACGGCACAGATGGAATCTCTTTATTATACGTTATTATACAGAAAGGACTAACACATCTCTTCCAGTGAACCTACTCGTATTCTGTTTTGCTTTTGAAGAAATCATGAAGATGTGATAGAAGAGAAAGAAAACCCAAGGTTCTCATTCATTTAAACATTGATCTTCTGTCATGTTCCAGACAGACCCTGAATCCTTGCGCAGACATGTGTCTGTGGTGGATATAGTAATTAAGTAACTAATTAATTAATTTGTTTATTCACCCTCACCCAAGGGCATGCTTACGATTTTTATTTAAAAAATTTAAAAAATATTTTACTTATTCACTTTTAGAGGGGAAGGGAGGGAGAAAGAGGGAGAGAAACAGCAATGTGTGGTCGTGTCTCACACGCCCCCTACTGGGGACCTGACCTGCAACCCAGGCATTTGCCCTGACTGGGAATCGAACTGGTGACCCTTTGTTTCTCAGACCTGCACTCAGTCCACTGAGCTACACTAGCCAGAGCTGCTTACTGATTTTTAGAGGTTGGGGGGAAGGTAAGGAGAGAAATATCGATCAATTTTCTCTCGCTCACACCCCAACCAGGGACCAAACCTGGAACCTACGTGTGCACCCTAACCGGGAATCGGAGCCATGACCTTGCAGTTCATGGGACAATGCTCCAACCTGCCAGGACTATGATGGATGGATCTAGTTTTGTGTTTTTAAGCTTTAAGTGTCTCTGGTCTAAAAAGCATGAATATATTTTGCATGGGCAAACCTTTGAAAATGTGTCTCTACAATAGCATGCTGCCCCTACCCGAACATAAGGCAAAGATCATACATGGCTTGACATCATTCTGCATGTTGGTTGGCCCCAAAAATCTCACGTTGCCTGAGTGGTGCTCATGCTGGAGAATCGTTACTCCAGCTTCCCAGACCTTAGCCTCAGTGTCTGATTCGCTCTCCTGAAAATTAATCAGGTAAACAAACAACCCAACCCTGCGATCTTTGCACATTTAAGTGCAGGTGTGGAAATGCCTTGCCTGGTTAATTTCCAAAGAACTGTTCTGATGGACTTCGATAATTAAGGTACCTCACCGGAAATATTCACTGCTCCAAGTCTTCAGAACACGTCACTCATTAAAAAAAAAAAAAAAGGTGAGGTGTTATTATGAATAAAAAGGCTGCCTTTAACTGAGGATCCCAATAAAAGTTTTTTTTTTAATATTTTATTCATTTTATATTTTATTTATTTATTTTTAGAGAGAGGGGAAGGGAAGGAGAAAGAGTAGAAGAGAAACATCAATGTGTGGTTGCTTGTTGTGAGTCCCCTGCTGGGAACTGGCCTGCAACCCAGGCATGTGCCCTGACTGGGAATCGAACCGCGATACTCTGGTTTGCAGGCTCGCGCTCAATCCACTGAGCTACGCCAGCCAGGGCCATTCATTTATTTTTAAACAGAGGGGAAGGGAGGGAGAAAGAGAGGGTGAGAAACATCATTGTGTGGTGGCCTCTGGTGTGCCCCCTACTGGGGACCTGGCCAGGAACTCAGGGATGTGCTGTGACTGGGAATTGAACTCACGACTCTCTGGTTCACAGGCTGGCACTCAGTCCACTGAGCCACACCAGCCAGATCCAGTTCTCCCATCTTCTCAGAGTAGGCCTTCTCTGCCAGTTAGCCTTCTCCTACTGCAAACCTCCCATCTACTGAATACTGGCCCTTCTCTTGAAGCTTAGGGTATAGGAACCTTGGGGCTGTAACACAAATATGCATCACCTTTGTCCCCTGATAGGGGCGCTATTTGGGCTTCTGCCTAAGTCATGGTTTCCCAAATACCTGGTCTTACTGATCTCAGTACATGCTTGTTGCCACTCCCTTTGAAAGGCCTTTTCATTAAAGTTAACAGCCTCATGAGCCAGGCTTGTTTCTGCCTGTGTTTTCATGCACAGCAGCCCAGCCCTCCCCACTGTGGCAGAGCCCGCCTCCCAGGCTGGTTCCGGGCCCACCTCCTCCCACTGCTGAGAGTCCCCCTCCCCCTTCCCCTCGCCCTCTGGTTCCCTCCTGTGCAGAGTTACTCAGAGCCCCTGGACTGTGGGTTCTGATGTCACTCGTTGGCTCTTTCAGTGACTCTCTGCTGATGCCCCGCGCCACTGCTGGGCTCTCTTGAGGGACAGACACAAAGGCTGTGAGGGAGAGGATGACAGCCTGGGCTGCACAGGATTGTTGTCACCATGATGTCACCTCCTGTTAGCTTGGTGGCCTTGGGTTCAAAGTAAGCCTTCCTGAGGCTTAGTTTCTTTATCTGTAAAATGAGAATTAAAAAGGAAACAATTCTGTTTGGTCTGGCCTGGTGGCCTCCTTGCAGATGTTCCTGGTCCCTGATGGCCTTCCGTGTTACACTAGGAATGTGGCCGTGCCAGTCTCAGGATTTCCTAAAGGCCCAGGGTGTCTGCCTGGCCCATGGGGCTCAGTGGGTCGGGTGTCGTCCCGCAAGATGAAAAATTGCCAGTTCAGTTCCCGCTCAGGGCACATGCTTGGGCTGCAGGCCAGGTCCCCGCTAGGTGGCACGCAAGAGGCAGCCACACATTGATGTTCCTCTCTTTCTCCCTTCCCCTCTCTCTAAAAATAAATAAATAAAATCTTTTTAAAAGGTGGTAAGGCCAGAGTGGGCCCTTCTTTTAAAAAACAAAACAAAACTTACTTTTCTACTCTGGTATATTTCATACCCACAGAGCAACGCCACAGTGAGCTGTGTGCACACTCACTGTACACTGGCTACGCACAGAGTTCATACAGAAACCCTGTTTGTGTTGAATAGTGTTCGACAAATTTCTGATCCTTCCACTCTTAGAAACTCAAAAGCAAAATACAGCTATATAGAAAACGTAGCCCCTCTCTCGGGCTCTCTTCTTCCTCAGGGGTGCCCGGAAGACTGTGCTGCAGCTGCCCGCATTTCTCAACGGGCAGCATTTTGGATGGGAGGGAACTGTGGGCACGGCCCGGATCGGGCTGGCCTGGCAGAGGGCGGCAGGTCATTCTGCTTTGGCTGCTGTAGAGGGAACAGGCTCCGAGGCAGAACCCTGCCATTCTTCCAAAATTGCATAGCTTTTGTATCTTACGTTGTTTTAGTTTGTAAACTAACCCTATGGAAATAAGATAATTAAAAACTAACAAGGGTTGCTAGGAGAACCCGGGTAAGAGTTGAGCCTTAACTGATAGGCCTGAGTGACTCATTCCTGTGGAAAGTGGTTACTCCAAAACTGTGAAGCTTTTGAATAAAGACTCCTTTCCTTTATCACCTCCCCCCCCAAAAAAAAATAGAAAAGAAAAAATGTAGCCTCATAGTGTCAGCAATAAAAAGTTTTTTTGAGCCCTGGCTGGCGTGGCTCAGTGAATTGAGCACGGGCTGTGAACCAAACGGTTGCAGATTCGATCCCCAGTCAGGGCACATGCCTGGGTTTCAGGCCAGGTCCCCAGTGGGGGCCACGTGATGGGGCAACCACATACTGGTATTTCCCTCTTTCTCTTTCTCCCTTTCTTCCCCTTTCTAAAAAAAATAAATAAATAAAGATCTTTAAGAAAAGAGGGGAAGGGAAGGAGAGAAACATCAATGTATGATTGCCTTTTGTGCATCCCCTGCTGGGAACTGGCCTGCAACCCAGGCATGTTCCCTGACTGGGAATCAAACTGCTATCCTTTGGTTCGCAGGCCCGTGCTCAATCCACTGAGCTATACCAGCCAAGCCAAAAAAAATTTTTTTTGAAAGAAAATGTGGCTTTTCTACGCTGGTTGGTTTGGCCCAGTGCATTGAGTGCTGGCCTGCAAACTGAAAGGTTGCAGGTTCAATTCCCAGTCAGGGCACATGCCTGGGTTGTGGACCAGGTCCCCGGTAAGGGGCATGCGAGAGGCAGTCACACATGGATGTTTCTCTTTCTCTCTTTCTCCCTCCCTCCCCCTCTCTAAAAATAAATAAATACAATCTTTTTTTAAGAATGTGGTTTTTCTAAAGTAACTGCATTGTGTAGTCACAGGTCTGATGGTATGATTTCAACTCTTGATTTCTCTTCTTTTAATCTAAGGTCCATTTTAGCCTCTTACCTTCTGAAGGAGAAGCTCAACATCCTGGGCAAGTTGGGGTGTCTGCTCAGCTGTGCAGGCTCCGTCGTGCTGATCATCCACTCCCCGAAATCCGAGAGTGTGACCACGCAGGCCGAGCTGGAGGAGAAGCTGACCAATCCAGGTGACCCTTTCTAGCCTGCAGGGGTCCCATGTGAGCCTCTGCTGTCTTGCCTCTAGCACCTGCGCTGTCCTGCTGGGTTAACTCGGGGACCGCACGTTGGGGACCGCCTGTGTCCCAGGCCCGCCTCCCCCTGGTGAGCCACTGTCTGAGAGCCGTAACCCAGTTTGATTTATCTTAACACTGCCCACAGAGGTCTCCCTTTTTTCTATGTATTTTTGATGCACGATAACTTACTTTTTTGAAAAGGGCAGTACAAAACCAACCATTAGGATCATTGTACTGGTCTAAAAGGAGAGAATCTTTGACATTACTTCCGGTAGTAGACCATCTGCGTTCCTGACCAACACCTTGAGGTGGGGCCAGCCCAAACCGCAGCCCCTGTGTTTTGGCACAGGGGTGTCCCGGCCGTGGAGTGTCTCCTGCTCCCCTGCGGCTCTCTGCGGCAGTGGGGACACGGCCACAAGATGTCTGTAAGATACAAAAAGGAATTCACAGTGAAGCTATCCAGACTGTAACTGTTCATGCCTGAACACTTAGCACTGTGGTATCCATTTCCTCCTGTAATAGACAAAATACTTACGCTACAGAGACGTGACAGGTCAGAAAGCTAGAGCTGAGCGTCCCTAGGGACTTACGTATTTCGCTGTGTGTAATGCTCCCTTTTCCCCAAACCTTTTTTGAAGGAAAAGAAGGATACTTGTTATACATGGGTATAGTAATCCCATGTATAATGCACCCATGACTGGATGCGCATTATACACTGTGAAATACGGCCCTTTATCTACCATTCAGAGCGGTGCATGTGAAGGCTTTTGCTTTTTGGTGAATGTGGGTGTTGCCACTACAAGCACGTCCTGACTTGTACCAAAAAACATTTTGCCAGAATATTTTTCTCTAACATGAAAACTTTTTAAAGATTTTATTTCTTTATCTTTAGAGAGAGGGGAAGAGAGGGAGAGAAACATCACTGTGTGGTTGCCTCTCCTGTACCCCTACTGGGGACCTGACCTGCAGCCCAGGCATGTGCCCTGATTGGGAATCAAACCTGTGAGCCTTCGGTTCACAGGCTGGCACTTAGTCCCCTGGGCCACACCAGCTGGGGCTGGGGTGCATTTTGATCCGGTGGAACCCTCTACACAAGCCTGGGCCCCTGGCTGCTGCCCGTGGGGTGCAGTCCTTCTCTCTGTTCCCAGTCTCCATCCTGCTTTCCCAGTGTCCCCCCCCCCAGATGCACCCACAGGGGCACCCAGCTGCCTCTAACACCGGATGACCCCTGTTTTCCAGTGTTCGTGGGCTACCTGTGCATCGTGCTCCTCATGCTGCTGCTGCTCATCTTCTGGATCGCGCCTGCGCACGGGCCCACCAACATCATGGTCTACATCAGCATCTGCTCCCTGCTGGGGAGCTTCACCGTGCCTTCTACCAAGGGCATCGGGCTGGCGGCCCAAGACATCTTCCATAACAACCCGTCCAGCCAGCGGGCCCTCTGCCTGTGCCTGGTGCTCCTGGCTGTGCTCGGCTGCAGCATCATCGTCCAGTTCAGGTACATCAACAAGGCGCTGGAGTGCTTCGACTCGTCCGTGTTCGGGGCCATCTACTACGTGGTCTTCACCACGCTGGTCCTGCTGGCCTCTGCCATCCTCTTCCGGGAGTGGAGCAACGTGGGCCTGGTGGACTTCCTGGGCATGGCCTGCGGCTTCACCACCGTCTCCGTGGGCATTGTCCTCATCCAGGTGTTCAAGGAGTTCAACTTCAACCTGGGCGAGATGAACAAGTCCAATGTGAAAACAGACTAGTGGGCGGCAGGGGCTTGGCCGACGCGAGGAACAGGGAAGTGGACATGGCTTCTGGTCCTAACTGGGCGGGAGGGACATGAGACCCCAAATCGCTGGGACTAGAGTTGCTCATCTGCCTGGGTGGAGTCTGGGGGCCGGGGCGGGGGCCTGGCTCTCTGCGGGCCAGAAGTTGCTGCGTGGTCGTCTGGGTGTCATCTCTCTAAGCGGAAATCTCACGTGCGTCACCATGAACCTGGAAGCTTTCCTGTCAAACGTTTTACCATTCCTTAAGTAGAAAAGAGAGGCGGGCTCCGTGTGGTTAGTCCTGGCAGGCCAGATGTCCCTCCTGGGACAATGACGTTGGACGTGGGAGGGAGTGTGTGGAACCTGACTCTGTAAATGCATCTGTAGTTGTGTTATTTTGCATCAAGCCTACATACCCTCGCCTGATGAAGAGGCATATGCATTTCATTGTTTCCAATCCCCCAAGGAGCTGACTCCCCCTCCCCCGCCCCTCACACGCTGACTGTGGATGCAGAGAGGAGAGTGTCGCACCCCCTGCGCTCTTGGAGGACTCTCTGCAGCTTCGGTCGATTTCAGTGCCTTTACTACTTGAACTGCTCACTTAATTTGACTCCGACTGTGTGTACATTCTCTTAGCTTAGAGTCACACCACCTCCTTGAGTATTACTTTACTATTTCACTATTTAACACATAAAAGTGTCAAGTGGTTATAAGTGACAGGACATTTGCTGGAAGGGAGTCAAGACCGAAGACACGTTAGAGAGATTGACCCCATGAGCATGCAGTTCTTGTCCAACTAAAGACGGTTGACTTAGTAGCATGAGGCATTTTATTTGCATTCAGTCTGCGTAACTGGGATCAAGTATCAAGCATACCCACATTCTCTTTCAGCGACCACTGTGGCCACGCAGGAGAAATGAATTATTTAACTTGATCCCCAGGCTGTGAGAGCAGAGCGTGACTGCCCTGCTCAAGCTCTGCTCACATCCCAAGCTCCCTGTGGAACAGGAACAAGCCAAGGGACGTGGGCAAGCTGAGGCCCGTCAGACGGGAGCACACAGAGGGAGATGCAAAGGAATCTCCTGCAGAAATGAGAACCACGCCCTTAGCCGGATCCCTGTTGTTTGAGATGGCAGAATCCCCTACAGCTACTTGCCCAACTCTTGTTAAACTTCTGAAATGCTGAAGAGCCGTTAACGATGCTGATATGTGGCTCAAAGAGACCGTTCGTCTGTTTGGAGTAACCTTCCCTGCACAGTGAAGGGAACAAAGTGCAGTGAAGCGCTATTTCATCCAGATACCACGTGATTCTCATGCGGTGTTTTACCTGAATAGTGAGCTGTGCCACCTTGAAAGGTGGGGTGGGGCGACAGAGATTCACTGAAGCAGAACATGGGATCCAATAACACCCAATGAAAGGTATTCACTGAAGAACAAGTATGCTTTGCCAGCCGGAAAAAACATTTTTAAAGACCCAAGGACTAGTTTCCTGAGGTGTTGACCAAAGAGACTAAGCAGAATGGGATGCTCTCACAGAGCGAAGAACACGTTTATGAATTAAAAGTCCGTGGGACAGTCGTGGGTTGTCAGTGATTCGTGAACTAAGAGCAGCAACAAAATTATTTAAACATTTAAAATATATATATTTACTGATAGTTAATAAATGCTCAAAAAGTTCCTCACTCTTTTGATCAGCTAGCAGAAGTTTGTTTTTTAATCTCAGTATTTTAAGGAATGCAGGCCTTAATTTATAGAACTGAACTTTCTGAAAATATAATGTAGCCATGTTAGTTTACCTTTAGGCATCAAAATAGTTCCCCAGGTAAGGGTTCCTCTTTGAGAAACTGAAAGAATTCATGTGGCAATACGCTTACACTGAGAAAGGTACAAGTCATACGGAAGGTACTGGTTTTGGTTTTGTGACACCTTACCTAGGCAGCTTCGCTGAAATGCCCCAGTTGGTGTCCCTTATCCTATTTTCATTTCATTTACAATTATACCACAGATACTCAGAGAAGACATTTTCAGGATCGTCCCCATGAATTTTCTAGAGTAAAACAAAAACCTTGAAGTATTAATAACCCACCTCCCTTTGAAGGCTGCTGATCCCAGGCCAGGTGGGTCTCCCAAGTTCACGTCCAGTCGGCATATTATCTTGGTCGGGGACACAGTTTTCCTTCCAGTAGGACCCAGGTCACGTGCCCATGGTATTTCACACATGGCACTCCACCCTCAGAGCAGTGGACGTGACCAGAGCTCTGACAGCCTAATTGTCAACCTTGACTTCCGACTTAACTGTATTTCTCTTCCAAGTTCATCTGTTCATAATTCATTTGAAATTGCAAAGAAAAAAAGTTTGGAAGTCAGAGTTTCAGCGAGGGCCCGGAGTGCTAACAGGTATCTGCAGAAGTGAACACAACACATTTTCATCGTCAGCCTATCCTTTGGGTTTTATCTCTGATAAAACTAAGAAAAATACCTACTGTGTGCTTGTTTCAAGCTGCCTCGGAAATATTTGTGGTCACAATGCGCAGACTTGCTACGGATAGATACTTAAACAGGCGTTTCTCTCCTCTGCTAACTTGGATGACCCCTTATTTTCTCATCAGAATCTGGGCATTTAAAAAGGTTGCTCATGGATCAAGTTTAGACTGTGTTAAGGGTTTCCACCCAAACCCAGCCCCAAGACCCCCCCCCCGGGGGGTTGAGTTGTTCCTCTGGGTGGCTACACCTCTGCAGAGAAGGTTCTGGGGATGGGCGGTCAGCTCCTGGCCACACGTGGGGCGAGATCTGCCCACAGTGGGCACTTCGGGGAGGATCATCACCCACCTGGTCTTTTCACTGCTCCCGGTTCAGCAATAAGAAATACTCCAGTTCCCACCTTTCAAGCCAGTTTGTCATACTCAGTTTTATTTGCACAAGTCCATTCCAGCAGTTAGCAGGTCGGTCTTCATTCTTCCTCTGGGTTTCATGTCTGCTAGAAGAGTGCTATTGTAGGATATGGTCACCTCTCATTGTTCTTATCAACAGTTCAGCTCTTGGTAGCTACTGGGCTCACTTCCGGAGGACAGTTTCTAGACGTATGAAGCGCTAGAGGGGCATCGTCTCCCAGGTGTGGACCACCACTTCCGGCCCCGGGGCCTGAGGTGTTGATGAGCACGGGCCCCTGATGTTGGGAGAGATCCCTCTTTTCCAAGCTGCTCGACTTATCTCCAAGACCTGAGTCATCGCTGCTCAGATCAGCAGCTGATCCACACCCACGGCTCTTTGCTGATGCGACCTTGATGTTGGCTTGGGTGGCCGCTGACTGAATAGGCAACGGGAGCGTGCTTCTGTTTAGCGCTGTTCCTGACCGTCTTCCGGGCCCCAGTGGTCTGCAGGATTTGTCCTCACTGTGCGGGACACAGGTCACTCGAGGAGCAGGATTGGATGGAGTCTCGGTGTTCGGCTTTCTCAGGGACCAAACATGCAACATTCACTCTTTAGCATGGGCCTTGCTTCCAAGGATGCGTCTGTGAGTTCTTCACGTGTGTTGCATTCATAGCTAGACGTCTGTGAACATGAGTGCAAAGGGGAAAGGTCATTTGCACACACCAGTCACCCATAAAACAGTTTGTCATATCAAATACCTCAATTTTCTCACTTCCACCTCACATTGGTACTGCTGATAAACTTTAATGGTCAACCCTTTAGCTTTCAGTGATTTAATTTTTTTTAAGATTTTATTTATTTATTTTCAGAGAGAGGAGGGAGGCAGAAAGAGAGGGAGAGAAACATCAATGTGTGGTTGCCTCTTGCACGCCCCCTGCTGGGGGCCTGGCCCGCAACCCAGGCATGTGCCCTGACTGGGCATCGAACCAGCAACCCTTTGGTTCACAGACCAGCCCTCAGTCCAGTGAGCCATGCCAGCCAGAGGTTTTCGGTAATTTTTTACATCTGGCCAGATTCTTACACTTCATTGTATACCTGAAAAGATGAAGAATAATAGTGATTGGAAGAAGGATTTGGCCCAATACCATGACTCATTTATTTTCATACAAGTTTCTCACATGCCGATAAATGCAACAAAAGAATTCTATTTTAAGAAAATGTAACCTTGATACATTAAGAAAATAATCATCTAAGAAAAAGTTGATACGCAGTAGAACAAGGATTGTGTAAATAACACCTATTTCTAATGTAGCCAGTGGGATAAGAACATAGGCCCAGAGCATGACCAGGGAGAAGGATTTACTTGTTCTTTATTCTTGAGTTGTGCAACTCTAGGTGAGTCACTTTACCTTTCTGTGCCTCAGTTTCTCTACCTCTAAAGGGTTGGGTTGGTTCTCCAAATTGACTGTCCGAGGGTGCTTGTACTTGAGCCGGTGCCAGCAGCCTCGGGTGACAGTGTCATGTGTGGAATGGCCTGGGAGTGACCAGGGGACACTTGCTCCTCTGGGCCTCCCATCTGCTCAGGACGAGGCTGTGGACCCGCAGCTTCGAGCACTGAATAGTAAGCAAGGGAAGCGCTGGCTGCGAAGTTTGCGTCATTCCATGAAGCTTTAGTTTTCTTCTTTGTTTATTTTAAGAGGAAGGATGTTATGTGTTCTGCTGTTAAATAGGGAGACTAAACAGGGACTTGGAAAGCAGCGCTGAATGGTCACACTCTGACGGGGTGTTACGCTGCTTTGGCATCCCAAGTAGGTTTATGTTCTGCAGGAGCTTCAATGGCTTGCAAACCAGATTGACTCTGTTGTGTTCGATGTGTCATGAATGATGCTGAGCTTCCTGCTTTCCAGCCACTCCACCCCGACAGCAAACTACCTGACACCAGGTGAAGGTCCGGCACTCCTGGACCACTAGTGCCAAAGGCTCTCTTTGCAAAGTTTGGCATTTCTTTTACTTATCAGACTAGAATATTTTGCCCCCCACCTTCACGTTGGTGTTTTTGCGCTTTGGAAAAATTTAAGGTTGCTGTTTTTAAGAACCATTCCTGAGTTTTTTAAATTAACTGTTACTTTCTTGTAAAAGGGAACATAATCATGAAAGAGAGGAAGAAGATGAGATAAAAAAAATGTAAAATGTGGACGGGTTGCATCAAAGGTTTTTCACGTAAATGTAGAGGGAGCTTCCAATTACCATGCTCACACATTTGTCAATGGCTGACTTGCTTACATCTTGCTGTATAGAACTAGGCATAGCATGTAATTGCCTTATGTAAATAAAAAGGCTATTTGTTAAGTTTTCCAATATTTATTAATCTGGATGTGTTTTAAAATAAAATAACATTTCTAGCTGAACTCTCGTTCGTTTTACCCTTTGTCTGAAAAGTTTGTGGCATCTCCGGTTTCATCTCGCGGTATTTTCTCAATCACGTGTTTCCCATTTGCTTTGTAGGAATGAGTAGCCCTAGGCTCCATCCCGATGTAGAAAATTTCCACTTCTGCTCATCTTAGGGAGGAAACCCGAGATGCACCAGTCCCGCCTGGGTGGCTCAGCTAGCTGGAGTGTTGTCCCACAAACCAAAAGGTTGTAGGTTCCATCCCCAGCTGAATCCCGGGGCAGAGGAAACTGATCAATATTTCCTCTCTCACATTGATTTTTCTCTCTCTTCCTTGCTCTCTAAAATCAATAAACATATCCAGTGAGGATAAAAAACTGTGCTCTCGTTTTTTTTAAAAAAAGGAATTTACCATATAGTGATTACTTTCTGATACAACAAAATGATGCCTTTAAAGAAAAGCACTTTATTTTAATCTTAACACCTTTGACATATTTTTGAAATGTACAGCAACATTATATTATCTTTTAAGCACATAGAAAAGTAGAGAATTAGAGCACATGGAAAATTCTGTCATCAGAAATATTGTCGTTAATCTTTTTTTATTTTAAATCATTTCATTATTGTTGACATAAAATACTATATTAGTGTCAGGTGTAAATCCCAGTTATTAGACATTATATAACTAAGTGATCATTCCAATAAATCTTGTTTCCATCCAATACCATACATACTTATTAGAATATTATTCACTGTATTCTCTATGCTCTGCTTTACATCCCCGTGTCTATTCTGTTACTATTAATTTGTACTTCTTAATCCCTTCACCTTTTTCACCCGGCCCCAAATCCCCTCCCATCTGGCAACTGTCAAAATGTTCTCTGTATCTATGAGTCTGTTTCTGTTCTGTTTGTACATTTATATTGTTTTCTAGATCCAGTTATTGATATGTGTTTATTGTCATTTTATTGTTCATATTTTTTCCCTCTCCTTAAAAAAGATCCTTTAGCATTTCATGTAATATGGGCTTGCTGGGGATGAACTCTTTTAGCTTTTTCTTGTCTGGGAAATGCTGTATCTGCCCTTTGATTCTGAGTGCTAGCTTTGCTGGGTAGAGCAATCTTAGCTGTAGGTCCCTGCTTTTCGTCACTTTGAATATTTCTTGCCAAATCCAACTGGCCTGCAAAGTTCTGTTGAAAAATTAGCTGACAGTCTTGTGGCAGCTCCCCTGTAGGTAACTAACTGCTTTTTTCCTTGCTGCTTTTAAGATTCTCTCTTTGTCTTTAACCTTTGGCATTTTAATTATGATGTGTCTTGGTGTGGGCCTCTTTGGGTTTATCTTGTTTGGGACTCTGCACTTTCAGCAGGTTAGGGATGTTTTTTTGTCATTTTTTTTATAAGCAAATGAAGACTTAAAAAAAAAAGATTTTCTTTATTTATTTAAAGGAGAAGGGAAGGAGAAAGAGAGGGAGAGAAATGTCAGTGTGTGGTTGCCTCTCACAAGTCCCCCATTGGGGACCTGGCCTGCAACCCAGGCATGTGCCCTGACTGGGAATTGAACCAGCAATCCTTTGGTTCGCAGCCCATGCTTAATCCACTGAGTTACAGCAGCCAGGCTTTTATCATTCTTTTCTAAAATAGGTTTTCAAATTCTTGCTCTCTCTGTTCTCCTTTTGGTACCCTCATGATGTGAATGTTGATACACTTGAAGTTGTCCCAGAGGCTTCTTACACTATCCTCATTTTTTTTTCGATTCTTTTTTTCTTTTTGCTGTTCTGATTCTGTCTTTTGCTTCCTTATGTTCCACATCACTGATCCGATTCTTGGCTTCATCTACTCCACTGTTGATTCCCTTTCAATTATTTTTCATTTCTGCTAGTGAATCCTTCATTTCTGACTGCTTTTTCTATGCTCGCCACGTCCTTTCTTATATTGTTGAAGTTCTCACCAAGTTTATCTGTCCTTCCCCTAAGTTCCTGGAGCATCCTGATAACCAGTGTTTTGAACTCCATCTACTGGATCGCTTGTCTCCATTTCGTTTTAGGTTTTTTTCTGGAATTTTGTTCTGTTCTTTCATTTGGTTTATGTGTCTTTGTCTCCTCATGTTGGCAGCCTCTGTGTGTTTGTTTCTATGTATTAGGCAGAGCTGCCATGACTTCCAGGTTTGCTAGATAGTGGCCTAGTGTAGTAAGTGTCCTGTGGGGTCCCGGGGCACAGCCTCCCTGATTATCCAGGCTGGCCCTCCAGGCACACCCATTCACGTGAGGCTGGGTGCGCCCTCCTGTTGTAGTTGAGCCTTGATTGCTATTGGCACGTCAGTGGCAGAGATTTACCACCAGGCTAATTGTAGGCAAAGCCTGGCCACGACCACTGTGGAGGATCAGCTGCGCAGGGCCCGCCCCACGGGGCGGAACTTACTTCAGCAGGGCTCTGGTGACTGCCCAGTAAACCGCTTGAGTGTGTCACTTGTGGAGGAGCTTGGGTGGTGCTTTGATGTGGTCTGAAGCTGTCCACCATGTGCCCTGGCTCTGGGAAAGTTTCAGGCCAAGGTCAGCACTGCCTGTGTTCTGTCATGGGCCACCCAGCATGAACTGCAAAGGGACCTGCAGATGGCTGCTACTTGTGCTGGGATTGGAGGTGCCCAGAAGCCAAGCTGGGAACCAAGGATGGCTGCTGCTCATGCTGCACCTGGGGCCACTTAGCTAGAGGCACGGGGAAAACTGAGGCCAGATACTGCTTGTTTGAGAGAATTGAGGAAAATCTGAAGCATGAGCTGACAGGCTGTTCATATGGAAAACCCACTGGAAACGGCTTGTGTGGGCCTGAAAGTTGGGCGGGGGGACTCAGGGACTCACTAGATTGGGGCGAACAGTAATTGCCAGGTTGACGGACACTCAGATATGGTGCCTGCCTGCCAGCTTTGTGGCTGGAGGCCTCAGAAAAGGAATAATGGCTTCTGCCAGCAGTTCTGTCTGGGAGAACTCTGGCTCTGTAGCTCTCGTCCTGATGTCAGACACCAGAACCCCCACATGTCCCTGGTGCCTTTTTAAAAAAATTTATTTAGCAACAGGGGAGTGGGAGGAGGAGATGGGGGGAGAAGGTACAGAAAATAAGTAGCATAGACAGTAGATAGAAAATAGTTGGGGGGGCAAGAATAGCGTGGGAAATATAGAATCTAAAGAACTTGAGACACATAGTCATAAACTAAAGGGAGGGTAATGGTGGGGATGGGGGGTAGGGTGGAGGGGAATGAAGGGGGGAATAGAACAACTGTAACAGCATAATCAATAAAAAAATTTAAAAAAATATTTTAGAGAGGAACATGGATTAGTTGCTCCACTTATTTATGCACTCATTGGTTGAGTGTATGTGCCCTTACTTGGGATCAAACCAACTTTGGTGTATCAGAATGATGCTTTAAGCAACTGAACGACCTGGCCAGGGCCGTCCCTGGTGCCTTTCAACTGCTGCCCCAGGGCTGCAGCTTAGAGGGAGTATGAGTACGTCTGTGTGCTGACCCTTTAAGGGGGACTGCCTGGGACTCTAGGAGCCTCTGTCTCACTTGTCCAACATCCTCAATTGTTTCTATAGCCAGAAGTCATGCAGACTTCTCTTCCTGGCACTGGAACCCTGGGATGAGGGGCCTGGTGCGGGGCTAGGACTCCTCATGAGCTATCCCAATTCTTATCTGGCATACAGGGGTGTAGGGGTGTGGGACCTGCCCTTTTGTGTCTCTGACCCTCCAATTCTTATCTGGCATACAGGGGTGTAGGGGTGTGGGACCTGCCCTTTTGTGTCTCTGACCCTCCTAACAGTTTATCTTTCTTTCGAGGGGAAGGGAAGGAGAGAGAGAGAAATATCAATGTATTTCAATATATGGCTGCCTCTCGTGCGTCCCCTGCTGGGAACTGGCCTGCAACCCAGGCATGTGCCCTGACTGGGTATCGAACCTTGGTTGTTTGGTTCCCAGGCCTGTGCTCAATCCACTGAGCTATACCAGGCAGGGCTCTCCTGATAGTTTTGACGTGGCCTCTATATATCCTTAGTTGTAGGACTTCCTTTGGGCTAGATTTCAGGCAGTTCTGAAGGGTGGCTGCTCTTTAGTAGAGCTTTGTTTTGATGTCATCTTTATTATGTCCTATAAGTCACTTCACTAAGTAAAAATAATATTTTGATCTTTGAAAATTAATGTTTCCAATTATTTTATTTTTACAGTCATTAGAAACATTTTAATTTTATATTTCAATTACACTTTATATTCAATATTATTTGTATTCGTTTCTGGTATACATTAGTATGTTATTGTCTATTTAATGGCTAGATAATAATATACTTTACGAAGTGTTTCTCTTTACATTTCAAGTGTCCATCTGCCACCATACAGAGTTATTACCATGTTATCGACTATATTCCCTATTCTGTACTTGACATCCCCATTGTAGGGAACTGATCTGTGCAGCAGTGGCGAATGTAGCCCAGCCTCTGATTCGGAAAGCCAGTGGGAGCGAGGTCGGCACACAGGAACCAGGCCCAAAGATCGGCTTTCCTGTGGGGAATCAGGCTTGCATTGTACCTAGCCTGCTTTAAGACTTGCTTTTGCTAAAACTCCCTCACCCTGAATTGAGGCAGATAATGTTTATTGCATATCTCTAAAGTAACTTCCTAAAACCTGTGCTAAACCTCCCAAGGATGGAGTGTAACCGGTTCAACCACTTTCCCCTGGCGTTTGCAACATCCTCGCCTTTGTTATCTATCCAAGGTAATCACCTAAAGCGAACCTGTGCATAGTAAATGAGGACCGTTCTCCATGTAATGTACCCAGAGGAGCAATAAAAGCCTGTCCAGGCAAAGGCTGACGTGCTCTCTCACTCAGAGAGCGGCCGTGCCATCCCTTTTTCTCTCCAGGACTCTTGTGAATTGGTTCATTGCAGCCACAACACACGGACCCTGCTGGTTGGAGTCCACGTCGCCCCGTGACTATTTTCTAACTACCAATCTGTGCTTCTTAGTTCCTTCACC